GTATATGTAGTAAAGCTAAAGCAACGGAGGGAGTAATGGGCAGACGTGAATTGGGAAATGAGTGTGAATATCTGGTGCAGTGGCAGTTTGTTAAGCCCCACCTGCCATGGGTGGCCATTGGCAGTGAAATTTAACTCTCTGGTGCTCAACAGGTAGCGGAACCCAGTCTAGCGCACAGCAGGCCATACATAGGGAGCCTGGGGAGCTTCATATTGAACATAAAGACTCCAGATTTTATGGTTTATCATAAATTGTAAAATAAAAGGAACTTTATTACAGCCAAACAGTTTACAAAATGCAATCTATGATATTGGTAAAATACTATGGGAAGCAGGATTGTATTAGGGAAAGACGTGATGCAGAACAGACTTACACAGAGAATATTTTGCTGAGGTAGTGGGTACTGCAGTGATACAGCAGACAAGGGAAGGAAGTAGGTCATGCACACGTTTTGCATTTTCTGCTGTGTAGAAAGGAACTCCATTCTTATGTAGATGGTGCAGACTCCGGACTGCCTGTCAGCTATTCATTTTCCTCAGCTTGCTTCCTTTGACAAATGACAAACTCCGATTACCGAAAATGTTCATAGTTGTCATGGCAATAATATAAATAACCCCCAGCATTGGTGTCAGTTGCCGTGATAATAACCCCCAGCATTGGAGTCAGTTGCCGTGATAATAACCCCCAGCATTGGTGTCAGTTGCCGTGATAATAACCCCCAGCAATAAAATAGTAATTTAAAAAAAAAACATTTGTTTTTTAAAACAAATAATCTTCCTATGTGGTAGCCAGTGGCAGCGCTATTATCATCCTCCCCCAATTGGTGGTCAGTGGCAGAGTTTTTTGTTTTTTTCTCTCCAATATGTCTTTTATTGTATACGTTTGTATAATACAGAACAATGAAAACAGAACAACCACGATACATGTGTGGTGAATATATGACAAAATAAGGTACAAGTAAGGGTCACATATGTAAACAGCACCCAAGATAAGCAAAGTCAATGCGGATTTCAATGGTGCTGAAAAGAGTGATAATGTATGTATAGTGAGAGAGCATTAACCACACTTATGGTGATAGAACAGAAGGCTGTAAAAACCATAAGGACAAAAACGGACAAACAATGTCAATAAAGGATAAGGTCACTATGAGTAATTTGTGCTTGTAAGCCATCGGTTCTATTGTTTATGGAACAGGTGGAGCGTACTATTCTTGTAAGAGTATATGCGTTCATATGCACATTGCAGATTTGTTAGGTGAACCACATCAGAGAAGTTAGGGGGGGAGGGTGAGAGCCAGTATCTTGTGATTAAGCACTTTGCTGCGTATAGAATATGAGATAATAATAACTCTAGAAGAGGTAGGGAATAGGTCCAGATGTATATGTAGTAAAGCTAAAGCAACGGAGGGAGTAATGGGCAGACGTGAATTGGGAAATGAGTGTGAATATCTGGTGCAGTGGCAGTTTGTTAAGCCCCACCTGCCATGGGTGGCCATTGGCAGTGAAATTTAACTCTCTGGTGCTCAACAGGTAGCGGAACCCAGTCTAGCGCACAGCAGGCCATACATAGGGAGCCTGGGGAGCTTCATATTGAACATAAAGACTCCAGATTTTATGGTTTATCATAAATTGTAAAATAAAAGGAACTTTATTACAGCCAAACAGTTTACAAAATGCAATCTATGATATTGGTAAAATACTATGGGAAGCAGGATTGTATTAGGGAAAGACGTGATGCAGAACAGACTTACACAGAGAATATTTTGCTGAGGTAGTGGGTACTGCAGTGATACAGCAGACAAGGGAAGGAAGTAGGTCATGCACACGTTTTGCATTTTCTGCTGTGTAGAAAGGAACTCCATTCTTATGTAGATGGTGCAGACTCCGGACTGCCTGTCAGCTATTCATTTTCCTCAGCTTGCTTCCTTTGACAAATGACAAACTCCGATTACCGAAAATGTTCATAGTTGTCATGGCAATAATATTATGATTTAAAAATCTTTACTGACATTTTTTTTTTTAATGCCTTTTTTCATTTGCAAATAACACTCTAATGCTTTGTACCAAAAACAACATTTGTGTGTCATTTGTTTAAAAAAAAAAAATACAACTACTTTTTTTTCCCAATTATGCACTTTTTTCCAATACGCCACTAAATAAATAACAAACAAAATGAATGAAAATGATAACATTTAAATTAGGGATCCACCGATACCTAATACCATACTCGGTACAAGTACGAGTACAACTACCGATACTTTTCCACCTCCAAGACTAGACTAGAGAGGCAGTTGTCATTTGTAAGGAGCGCACGGAGCTCCTGGGATTTGTACATCTGTTTTAATGTATGATTTTTAAAATATAAATATAAAGGGATGCACCGATACCATTTTTGCGAGTACAAGAACTGATACTTGTCCAAGTACTTACAAGTGCGAGTACTGATACATTTTTGTTTATTGTCATGTGACAGTTTTTCTAAAACAATACAAACTAATGATTTCAGGACAGTGGTGGAGTGCCCGAGCCAGGTCCCAGCTGCAACCACTGCAACCCTGGTAGTTCTCGTGTAAAGGCCAAGTATCGGCACCGGTATCTGAACTGGTATCTGAACATCCCTAATTCAAATATAAATGGTAAGAAATATTGAAATAAAAAAAAATCAATAGAAAAATAATATTAAAGAGGAGAGGGAGAGGAAAAATTTAATTAGGGCTGATTAGGATTAACTAAGGGTTAATAAGTGTTTAAATAGGAATCATTTTCTTTTTTACTTGTACGGTTTCTTTAACTGATGTCATATGTGGATAAAAGGTCACACCTTTAACCCTTTCGCTGCCACCGTCACAAGCCATACGTCGCTGGCAGCGGGGCCCTTTAAACAGACTCCCGGCAACTCTGTTTACCTGTGTAAAGCCGACTGTCGGCTTTACACTGGAAGTGATTCTGGCGGCTGAGCTGCTGCCAGATCGCTTCCAGGGGCCAGTGTAGTGCATTCTACAGGGTCTTTGCTTTTAGAATATATATAATGTTTTAGGGGCTTTAAGTAATTTTTCAGGCCTTAAATGTGGATTATAACATGTGTGCAAAAAGCCTTGGCAGGAAAAGGGTTAAAGAAGAACCTCAGGCAAAACTTTTATTAACCCTTGCAGAGGGGCTTCCCCTGCACTGCAAGGGTTAACTACTCATTTTTGTCTAGGTGCTGCTGAAAAAACGTTATACTCACCTGAACTGCTGAACCGGCCTGTGAAGCCTGTATCCTCCTATGCTGGAGCACTGAAATTCTCCTCCGCATCCTCATGTCTATACACAGTGTATAGAATGTGATGATTTACGGCCTTGGTTCTCAACTGGTGGGTCGTGACCCAAAAGTGGGTCGCGACCCCGTGTTCAGTGGGTCGCCGCGTGCCTTCCACTTTTCTAGGTGAGAGGCTCCTCTGCCTCCCCCTAGCGCAGCACTGTCAGTTCTCACACCAAGCAGCCATTCAAAATATCCTGCCCGGCGCAGGGTGTCAGCTTGAGGTGGGATGTGCAGAGGCTATGGCCGCAAGGGAGCTTCATCCATACGTGCATTGCTTACAGCTCCCTCGTATGCCCTGTAGAGGTGCCTGAACCGGAGTGACATCACATTCTTGCTCCCAGCACCTTTACAGGGCGCAGGGAAATTGTAGAAGCAATGCACATATGAAACGAGCTCCATCCCAGCACAGCAGCCCACATTGGACCCCCCAGGCTTAGGATCCACTCCAGTTCTTGTAAGGTAGGGATACCAGGTGGATCTTAAAAGAAAAAGAAAAACAAATGTTTTTTTTGGGAGTGTATGTGTGTGTGTGAGAGATTGTGTCTGTGTGTGTATATATATGGCAGTGTTTTGAGGACCTCTTCACACTAGTACAGTGCAATTAACTCAATGTACCAAGCAATTGCACCTACCGTGCATTCTGGTGCGGGAGGTGTGTTGCGTTGCCATTCATTTGATAGGTACCCCAAACGCACCTCCCACCCACAGTTCGTACGCCCGCAACGGAACGTGCAGTACCCTAATGCCGTGCGTTCCATTTCAGTGTGACTTGGGTCGCGACTTAATGACCAAGGACAAATGTGGGTCCTGAGGTTACACAGGTTGAGAACCACTGAAACTGGTGGGTCGTGACCCAAAAGTGGGTCGCGACCCCGTGTTCAGTGGGTCGCCGCGTGCCTTCCACTTTTCTAGGTGAGAGGCTCCTCTGCCTCCCCCTAGCGCAGCACTGTCAGTTCTCACACCAAGCAGCCATTCAAAATATCCTGCCCGGCGCAGGGTGTCAGCTTGAGGTGGGATGTGCAGAGGCTATGGCCGCAAGGGAGCTTCATCCATACGTGCATTGCTTACAGCTCCCTCGTATGCCCTGTAGAGGTGCCTGAACCGGAGTGACATCACATTCTTGCTCCCAGCACCTTTACAGGGCGCAGGGAAATTGTAGAAGCAATGCACATATGAAACGAGCTCCATCCCAGCACAGCAGCCCACATTGGACCCCCCAGGCTTAGGATCCACTCCAGTTCTTGTAAGGTAGGGATACCAGGTGGATCTTAAAAGAAAAAGAAAAACAAATGTTTTTTTTGGGAGTGTATGTGTGTGTGTGAGAGATTGTGTCTGTGTGTGTATATATATGGCAGTGTTTTGAGGACCTCTTCACACTAGTACAGTGCAATTAACTCAATGTACCAAGCAATTGCACCTACCGTGCATTCTGGTGCGGGAGGTGTGTTGCGTTGCCATTCATTTGATAGGTACCCCAAACGCACCTCCCACCCACAGTTCGTACGCCCGCAACGGAACGTGCAGTACCCTAATGCCGTGCGTTCCATTTCAGTGTGACTTGGGTCGCGACTTAATGACCAAGGACAAATGTGGGTCCTGAGGTTACACAGGTTGAGAACCACTGATTTACGGGACCTTAGACCACACTAATACAGTGCAATTAACGCAATATATCAAGCAATTGCACCTACCGTGCATTCTGGTGCAGGAGGTGTGTTGCGTTGACCACTGCAGAGGAGTGGGAGAGAGGCTGGAAGGACGGGTCTAAGAACAAGCCGACTTCTCGGTTCAAGTGAGTATACCTTTTTTTAGCACCTACACAAAAAACACAAAAACGAGCACTTAACCCTTGCAGGGCGTGGGTAGCCCCAGTACAGGATTTAATAAACAGGGGGAGAGGAACTGAACATAGGAGACACGTCCTATAAGCATTGTTGAAGTTCTTTAGGACGTATCTCCTATGTTTCAATTCCTCAAGTGGTTAAACATTACTGTTCTGTGATATGTTTGTGCTACATTGATAAACACTGTAGGTCCAAAAATTACGAAAAGCCTGTAGTTCACATTTAACTAATATGGTACGTTTAATTTCAGTATGTTCTGGCTTCACCCCCTCTGCTCATGAATGGCTTTTTCCACCCTAGCCGGGATGTGAACTACTTAAAGCTGAAGTTTTATCTGCTTATATTTTGCCTTCCCTGGTTTATCCTTTCCCTCCTTATTAACATGCTAATTAAATGAATAAATAAAACCTTTACATTGTCATTACATACTATATGTCACAATGTCAAATGGCAATGACAAATATGTCTACGGGCCTGTAAACTGCCTGCCGCCCCCAGCCACCTGCCTGACACCCTCGCCGTGTTTCCACTCTGCTGCCCCTCCTGCTGGCCCGGGATTGGCATCTCGGGTGTCGGCGGGAAGCTGGGGAGGAGAGTGGCAAATGTCCGTTCACAGATTTCCTCCCTGTACTATGGGACTGGGAGCGATGCAGATTGCATCACTTCCAGTCCCATATCTGTCATTGCTGGGCTCCTGAAGCCCAGCTATAAGCTATTGAAGTGTGATCTGCACTTCAATGGCGTATTTAAAGTGGAAAGGTGATACTACGGGTCTTTTAGACCCCCAGTATCACCTTTAAGAGTACCTGTCACCACCAATCTGCTATCACATGTAAGCCCCCCTATGTGATAGCAATTAAAGTAAAGTAAAACAAAATGAAAACAACAGTTTTTAACAATAATATTAAATGAAATAAATGTAAAAATAATTTAAAACATTTTTTAAAGTTCCCCGCCCCCGCGAGCATGCGCATCATATCGTAAACACGCATTGAGTGCGCCTACGTACAAAAACGATGATCGCGATACTCATGTTGGGTATCTCAGCACACACCAGAGTGAGAGCAATAATTCTAGGGCCAAAATTTACGAGTATCCCTAAACTAATGACCTGTAGGGGCTTTTAAAGCGTCGTCTATGGACTTTTTGGGGTACTGAATTTTGTTGCCGTTTCACAGACGCACACAATTTTTAACCTGGGCATGTTGGGTGTCTATGTACTTGTTGTAACCTCATCTTTTATATTTTATTAAACAAAAAGGAGGTATTTTATTGTATTTATTGGGTCACTAAATTTAACTAAAGTGCATTTTTCACAAACGTTTTGGGTTTGATAATAAGTTGTGCTAATATCATGCAACATCAAAATTTGCAACTGCCACCATTTTATTCTATAGGGTCTTGGCTTTCAGCAAATAGATAATGTTTCGGGGGTAAAGGCCTCGGACATTAAGGGGTTAATAGTAGGCTTACTGACATAACTTTCCCTTGTGTTTTCAGTCATGTTTACAAAAATAAGTAGGCAATCTGCCAATCATATTCTGTTATTAGGGTTCCAACCGTTTACAGGATATACATACCATTATTATAAGCCTGGGGGTATTCTAGCTATCAAATCTAGTGCAGATTTCATTCACTTTCACTCTAGCGGAATATCACATGAGCCAGAAAAATCTGGCAGTAACATGTTAAGAATGAGCCTGCAGCATATACCAGTTACCAGATGGAGATTATATGGAGTCATAAAAGTGTCATTTATTCCCTTGTCCCTTTTAAACTGTCATCTTTTAGCTGAAATGTTCATTTCTGAGTGACCTATCCAGGCGTATTCAGTAAACCAGTGACCAATATCTAGTTCGATTTCTGGCCTTTTAATTCTGGTTGCTGTGGATTACTGAGCGCATTGCTCCGTTGTTTATTGAATGATCTTGGATTTCTCCATTGCCAGTTACTAATTTTTAAAGCTTTATTAAAGGGGTCGCAATATGTCTGTGAAGGTTCTCATTCATCCAGGTCATGGTATATCTGTAAAAGATAAGTCAAGGCAACTGGACTTGCTGTATTTTTCTCGAAGACGTTTCACTGGTTACCAGCTTTCTCAATTCAGAATGACTTGTCCAAAATTCTCTTCTCTGGGAATAAATATGGTGAATGTCGCACCAATCCACACAATCTGTTAGTCTCAACCAGGTGTTGAATGCATTTGCATAATTGGAGTCTAGGAGGTGTTATTAACCTGCCCAGAGAGAGGTGTTAAAACAGCATTGTATGTGGCAGAAAATAGATGTCTTGACTTATTTTTTTTACAGATATTTATTAAAGGGGGAAATGAAGTGCCATAGAAAGCTAGAAATATAAAGTAAAGGTAGTAGAGGCAATAGAAGTATGAGACTAAAAGAAGGGTGACATGAAGCCAGCTTATTAGGTACACAAGGCTGGCCCTTTAAACCCTGAAGCTTATTAAATACTTCCATATAATATCACTGCATATATACTGTAAAAGCAAAAGACCTGTTAAAAAAAGGAAAAATATACTTAGGGCCGTTCACACCAGGGGCGTGCGATTAATGCATGGTACCGCACAATGCACCTACTATGCATTAACCGTGCGGCAGGTTTCATTCACCCCAAATGTGCCCCCGCCCACAATGCGCTCAACCCCAATGCAACATGCGGTACCTCAAAACTGTGCATTGTGGATGAAAAAGGTAGTGCATGCACTTTAATGCACCTCATATAACATAAAAAGAGATGCGGAGATACAAATGATTGACTTTTTACACATATACAAATACCAGGACTGAAAAACAGACACCTAGCAGGGTCAGGTCTGTGGTGGGGAACCAAGGAGATGTGTATATCATGCATGGAGAGGAGTGAGAGTGGTGAAATACTGGGTGACTCCCATCAGTTTTAGGGTGAGTTGACAAGCCTGGAAAGCAGTAAGTCATGTGAATGAATGTTCTGCTGTTCAGAATCCGCTGAGTCTGAGAAATTCCTTCAGCCTAAGTCAACAGTAAGGGGGTTTGACTTTACATTCTGGTGTCTGTGAAAAGGATGTCTGGAGAACCTTGATCTGATTTACACAGGAACTGACTGTTTTTAGAGGTAACTGACTTAGCACTTTACATCAAACTGCTATTCTTATTACACTGTGACATAGCAATGTGTTTATCCAGTGGTATGGGTCTTCAAATAGACAAAAGTGAAAAGTCAGTAGGCATTTGACTGTTCTGAAGCAATATGATTACTGTACTGTGCAGGTTTTAAGCAATGTTTATAGGTACCAACAGCATTTCTTCTACCAATGGTTCTGGTCTGCGTGTAATGCTGATAGAAATTAGTGGGTCTGCCTCAAACTGCCAATTATTTTCTATGAGAGAACAGTCTGCTGTACTATATGCTAAGACTGACTCTTAAAGTACATATCATTCAAGTCACATTCATTGTTCCTATAATCTTAACATCTACAATTATACAACAAGATGCCAGTAACCTCATGCAGAACAGAATCAATTCTTGTTACTTTTTACTCTGATAAATAGCTGTAAGGCTGATGTCAAACAGGCTATTCTACAGCTAGCGACAAATCGCCAGTGGCAGGATGGCTAAAGAGGCTGCCTGTCTGTCCCTATGGTATTGCTCACTCTATAGCCAGAAGCAGCGAAATGTCGCTCTGTTGCTGGACTGAGCACGGCAGCTTTTGGATTGTTACCATTGGTAGTGACATCTCACTGCTACAGAGGGAGCAAATCCATGGGGACAAACAGGCAGCCTCTTAGCTTTCCTGCCATTGGCATTTTGACAAATCATCAGCGGAAGGATTGCTAGCAACAGAGTCGCCCATCTTGTGTTGTAGTGTGTCCCCTGCACTCCATATGACAGCGTAGACCATGAGGATATGGGTTGCAGTGCTGGAAGTGATGACACGGATGGCACTGTGTGTTCTTAGAATATGAATGAAGGAATAAACAGCACTCACAGGATTGAAAGCGTGAATTTCTTGTTCATTTTTATTGAACATGTGTCACATGCATTAATCAAGCCAACATTTCGGGGCCACGCAGAGTCCCTTCCTCAGGGTGACATAGCGCTATGTCACCCTGAGGAAGGGACTCTATGTGGTCCAATCACAAATTAGGAAAACAGGAAATCCACTTCCTTCTTCCTCCTTTTATTTGCATCCACATTCCACAAGGCAAAAAGCTGCGTCCAACGACCATTTCATGTGCACATTTATTTTTTATTTTTATGGGGGGTTTTTTAAAAGGAAGAAAAGGCCATGAGTGCCTCGGTTTCTTTATCTATGATGTTGATGGCATGCTGAATTACAAAGTGTACCTGGATTTAAGTGCCTGAAGCTGTGCAGTAAAATCCCTAGTGCTTTCTTCCTTTGAAATATGCATGGTTGGCTGTGTGAATCCCTCAAGTGTCTGGAAGTGGCACACATTTACATAGCAGTACAAAAAGAAATCTAAACTCTGGGGTGATAAGCATACAAGAGTCATAGATGCCAGGAGGATACAGACACAGAATTGCTAAACACAACATGGATATAGACACATTCTCAAATAATTCATCCCCACACAGATACCTCCTCATGTATCATTTCCCCCTGCTCTTTTAGATTGTAAGCCCTCAAGGGCAGGGCCCTCCTTACCATCTTGTCTTGAATTATATTGTAATTGTAATGTCTACCTTATATTGTAAAGCGCTGCGCAAACTGTTGGCGCTATATAAATACTATGTAATAATAATAATATAGACACAGAAACTATTAGGTGTCATGGAGTATGCCAACCACAAGCCAGTGGCAGTGAGTGGTTCTGTTTTGCTACTCAGCACTGTCAGCAGAGGCCTAACAAGAAACATTCAAACCATACTGCAATCGTATTGTCCACAGGACACAAGAAAGCATGAATAAAACCTTTAGCTGCAGTGACAAATTGTGATTTTGGTTAGATCTATCCAAGCAAACTATCTAAGTCTATTTCTACTCTCATGTCATATACTTGTAATATTCAGTTTGTTAGTTTGCTGCTCCACTGGACAATATTTAGGAACAGAAGATGTTTCCTACAATTGCATTCTCACATATCTAACAACTCTCAGTCACAGCTCCATGCCGGGATTCTCCCTCCCCTCTCTCTGTTCCTCCATCACTGACTGGAGGGGCAGACAGGGAAGGGGGTGGGCACAGCTGGCTTCGGAGAGGTAGAGCCAGCTGTCAATCAGGTAGTGGGGTGGATTCCGACAATATTGTCAGGATCTTTCCCAGCTGAAGTGTGGCTCTGCGCTGTCGGCATATATCGGGCAATAGCCGGCTATATGCTGAGTTTTGGGTCACAGGAGGTAAATTCTGGGTTTTACCAATGATTTTTGGTATAAATATTCTCATTGGTCCACATAACTTTGGGTGTTGCCGTCCATCATCAAAACACATTGTGATAGAAAATGTCCTTCTTTCTCATCTCAGAAAGTTGAGAGGAAGTTGAGAAATACTAAAAAGCAGAATCTGTATTTTGTTCAGAGTAAGCCAATTTCACCGGGGTTCTTGCTGTCTCCAGTTTTGTCCAGCTCTTTCAAAAATGGATCTTCAATGCATTTTTATATCATGTACCATTTTCCTTTCAATGCTCAATCTGTCATACAATACTGTGGAAACAGTTCCTTAAAACATGTCATCTTTGTGCCTATGAATATTTGGAAGTGTGCTGCCAAACCAGCTGCTGACAAGCCTGAAGCAACCTCATCACAACTCAATACAAATTTCACACTGCAGAGATTGCAGTGCACACACATGATCTTGCTCATTATGCCTTGATGAAGGGGGTGTGTTTGGACCCCCAAAACACACTGGCTACTCTACTTGAATGTCCCCTTACCCTGATGAAATAAAGTTGTATCTGGACTTTTTTAATTGGTGTTTCACTTCTCAATCCTTCATCTACTGTGTTCACTGTGTCTATGAAGTCCTTTTATGTTTTGAAGCTCCACTCTAACCAAAACTTTTTATTTTAGTTATGGATAAACTGGGGAGAGATAGAAACCTTGTTTTAAATGACATATGTGCCATTTTTGCAGTGATTTCCCCTGGATCCTGGTCCTGATGCCCATCAAATAGACTGGAAGTCTCCCCAACTCAGCTACAGGCAGCAAGAAAACACCACAGAAGTTCTATACCTTTCCTGTTCTAAAAATAGTGTTAGTTGAAGCCGGACTTTAAAGGGAATGTATAGTTGTTTTTAATGACTTTGTAGATATATAGTATGTAAATAGGAGATCAGCTTGTTGATAAATAATATTATCGCTATGTGTTATACTACGTAAAACATTGTTCTCATTTTTAATTTGTAATGATATACTTACATGACAGCAGTTATATTAAACTATAATAATAGGAGCTGCATTGATCAGCGCCTGAGCTGCCCACTACTCAGTCCACACTTCTTATCGTTATTAGTAGGGTGACTAGGTACACATAATGCATTCTGCTATCCTTTTCAAAGCCCAACTCCTGCCAAAACGTTATCAGTTGGGCTCTCAAGTGGTCAGTGCAGGCTCTCACCAGGGGTCCGGGGAGTCTCACCCGCGGTCCCAGCAGACGTGGCTCTCTAATCAGGTAGCTGCTTGCTCCTCACTAGGGCCCCAAAATGCCCCAGCAAGTGGCCTTCTAATATGCCTGATCGAAGGACCACATCTGCCTGATTGTATTCGGCCTGGATTGCCCTTGGACATACTGAGGCAATCCGGGCTGGCTGGGCCTATGTGCAGAGGCAAGCCTGGAGCGGGAGTTGCAGCCCAGTTCCTAACAAGGCCATGGACAGTACACAGTAAAATTCACTTGATCTCCTGTTCTCTCTGATATTCATCTCCTGCTCATGAAGTGAGGTAATATCTCCCTCTTGGTGACACAGATAGCAATAATATACTGACGGTGGTTCTATTTTTATTGGTGCCTGTGTCCCTGTTGATAGAGTAACTTTACATCCAGGGTGCCTCATCACCGTATCATCCTAGAGCTCCGGTGCCCAACATGTGGACAATTAGTGCTTAGTGCGGAGCCTGCTCTGATTCAGATCTATGTTTAGATCTGGAACACTGATGGCTACACACTGAGTTCCAGTCCCTTTGGCAGGCTTTATTTATCTGTAAGTGACAGTCATGGTCCAGCACTAAGCCCAGGAACTGAACTGATTAGCCCCTGGGTAAGCAAACCTGCTATAGAACACTTCATAAGAGTTCTTCATAGAAACACAGCAGAACACAATGCTTCAGCTTTGTGTTTAAAGTGGAAGCACGATCACATGACTTGATGTTATCACATTTCCTCTCACTCCACCTTAAATGTTTAGACAGGGCACTGCCTACCTCAACAGCAATAACAAATGACTGCAAAAGATATCTATTCCTTGCTGATAACAGCAAAGAATAGATCACTATTTGAAGTCATTTGTTTCTGCATAGATTTATGGGGGGGCTGGATCAGGTCTCCCCTGAACTGATCCAGAGCCCCCAAAAGGAAAAATAAGTAAATGTAATATATGATTTATAATTAAATCATAATCAACAAAAAAAGTGTTAAACAGATATCCCACTCCCCATTAATCCCTTGGTCCCAACAAACACACTGGATCCTTAAAGGGTTTCTAAACCTCATGTGTTTTTGCATATATCTACTGCTAGCAAGCAGTAGATATATGCAAACAGTTTTTAAAAAAAAAACACTTTAAAAGCGGTTTAAACTTACCCCGTCTTCGCCGCGCGCTCCCGTCCGAAAAGCCGAAAATGTTCGGGCAGCTGCAAAGCATCTTGGGGCGGGCGCATGCGCATTTCGGATTTTTTAGCCAGGAGACAAGGAGAGACACAAGGTAAGTCTATGGACGCGTGCACCCGCATGCAGACATCGTGGGACAGGAAGTGCCAGCAAGGACGGAGGAGTCAGCGCTGGATCGTAGACCCGCAGCAGCGCTGGAGAGAAGGCTGAAAACGACAGGAAAGAAGAAGAAGATCGGATTAAGAGACATAATTTAAGGTAAGTGCTTTCATTAACACGTTTTTGACTTTAATGTCACTTTAAGATAACGCAAACCTGTAAAAATATCATGCCAATTTATGTCTGCAAAAAGCAGACTTGACCTGTAGGGTGTATTTCTAAAAGATTTGCGGAGCCATTTCTCCTGTGAAACTGCATGTGCATTTGTTCTGTGTGAATGGAGGCAAAAACAAATGTTAATAGCATATTTTCTTTTCAGGATGAATGTATTAGGTAAATACCAAATTATGGCCATTAGATGAAGCTGAGGTGCAAAGCAAATACAGTAAGTATTGATTTCCTATGCTCCTCGGCTCCATCTAATGGCCATGAAGTGGTATGTACATGATATAATATCCAATTCTTATTACAGTCAGTTATATAGTACCATCAATGGCCATTAACTGCTGTGTTTATGAGCCCTACGTCCGTTCCCGCTCACACTATTAGATGTGGAAATGCGTACCAATGCGCGGTCATGTGAGTTGTTGCCATGTTTGCTGTGTGTTTGCCATTAATTACAATGGATGCCGCACGGGGGACAAACATGGCAAAGTAGCTCATGCAGCTTTTTCAGTGTGTTTGTGCGTGTTTGGCATATAGCCACCCCCTTTTACCGGCTGCATTTGGCACACTATTAATGGCACCGCAAGCACAATGCACATTGTGAACACTTTCTGTGAACACAACGTTAGGGTGTGAACGGGGACTAAACGAGCACAAGTTTGTCCAGTGTACATGCAGAACACTTTCATAATTCTATCTTATTACAACATAAACCTAGGTGATTATGTGGCCCTCTGAACATGCTAGGGGCCACACTACATATTTACTGAGTTGACGACTGCTGTTCTTAGGTTCACAGCTGACTGATTAAAAATTGAACGTTTGCTCCCCCTAGTGGCTAATATACTAATTGCAATATTTGATACAATAAGGAACAACGAGCATGTAAAATGTGAAAAATGTCACATAAAAATAACTTTAGGTAAAACCCTGCATCAATAACTCGCTGTGAATTCCCTGTACTTTCCTTTTACTTCCCCTTTAACGTTCTCCTTCTGTGCCCAACTTCTCATTTCTTACCCGCAGATGGCGCCAGAGTTCTAGTCCCCAGTTTTACTGCACTAGTCTATCTTTTACTAGAAAGTCATATCCGCTTCCGGTTTCCCGTGCCCTTTCACGTCACGTTACTATCTGCGAATAGCGTTCCTGATTCGGCAGTAGGGGAGTTAACATGACGCTGGTTGCGGATTGGCTCGCTCTTGTCCAATCGGGTGTTGAGGTGACGGTTGCCCGGGCTGTGGAGTGGTGGGGGTGACATGGCGCATTGGACCCGCTTTGAGAAGGATCAGGAGAGGGATGTGAAGAAGCTGGTGTCCTGTCTGAGCGGCCTGCAGGATGACAATGACAAGAACTTCCAGGTGGCCCTGCAGTACGCCTGGTCCAATTTCAGGTGTGATATAGCTCCCTCTCTGTCACTACACCAGCATCACCTGTATTCCATTGTGTACTATGTTACATATGACATGCGCTGTCATTATAAATGGCTTTAGGAGTTTATATTCAATGTAATGGTAGGCATTGTCCATAGATTTAAAGAACTCTGGGCAAAACTTTTATTAACCCTTGCAGTGGGGCTACCCCTGCACTGCAAGGGTTACCTGCTTTGTCCAAGTGCTAAAAAACAAAAACAAAAGTTATACTCACCTGAAAAGCTATTCTCACCCGATTCTTGGTCCCATCTGACTGATAGACAGGTCCCTGCAGCCTCTTGTCCCCTGGGCTCTGGCGGTTCAAGGATCCGTCATGACATCTATTGATTTGCAGTGGACATCAGGACTCAGAGGGACATTAGGTAAGATATACTCTCTTGAGGATCGGGTGAGTATATCTTCATTATTTTAGACCTTAGACCTTTGTCACAGGCCGGCTCTAACTATGAGGATGAGTGGAAATCACTCACCTCATAATTCTTCTTTAAGATTTAACATTTTATAAAGCATCACACCCCACACAAGTCTGCTGTCATAGGAATTGGAATACAAATCAAACATTTGATTATGATGCGACTGTGTATGCGAACATACTTTACAAAATCAATGTCAGGAGATAGCAGCAGGCGAACATCAGATGCTTTTATGCTGTAGATGTAAATGCTATAGGTCATGGAGGAGCCGGGATTTGTACCCATGTTATAGGAGAGACCCCTGACCAGAACCAGCTAGCTGAAAACTGTAAGGCCCCATTCACACTGAGCGATTTATGCAGCGATATCGCTCTATGTAGCTTCTCCAATCCATTTCAATGGAGCTGTTCACATCTCGCCACTCAATATCGCTTATAGCTCGTCGCTGTAGCTTGTCGCTCCTACATGACCCTTTTTTCTGCGGATTTTGAGAGGCATACAGCCCAATAGAAAAAAGTCGCGCGACATCGCGCGATTTTCATGTCGCTCAGTGTGAATGGGGCCTAAGGCTGCATTTGTCAGATTTTTGTTTTCACATCTTGCTTAAAGAGACCCCGTCGCCAGACCATTTATTTGAACATTAATCTTCCCATAGGGTTATAAGTACATTTACTGTATTTTAGGCTTGTTGTTTACTAGTAAAAGCCTGCCTTCTGTAGGCATCAGAGAACCCTGAGACTGCTGCTGGGTGCCGCCATCTTGGTTGTGATGTCAGCAGCCCCAGCAGACTCAGAGCTGTCACTCAAGTTGCAATAGTATTCTCCTTTGCTCTTCCCTTATATTACAAAGGTTATGTAAGGAGGTGAGAAAAGGGGTAAGGGAGATGACCCAGCACAGAAAGTAATTAGACACTCCTGTTCCTGGAGTAGTCAGATTTGCTAGCAAGTTCAGAGGTACAATGCAAGTGAAAAAATAGTTTAGGTAAAGGAAAAAGGAAGGAAGCATTTGCATATCTTGACTTTTTCTGTGTTTTTACCTGAATTTTGTTGAAGTGGTGACAGGGTCTCTTTGATTGGGTATCTTTTAACACTGAAGTGAACTTCTATAGTGCCAGGTTAATGGAAATATTTGGAGGAGGCTGTCAGCATAAGATGTACCCAGATCTTTGGTGGATTTGACTTGCCATCAGGATACATTTATATTTAGAGGCTTGCAGCATCCGGATCTGCAGTCATAGTTTCCAGATGATACTCGGATGGATTCCCCAGAGAATTGCGTCTTGTACTTTGGGAAGAGCCCACTGGGAAGTGCTGTGCCATCACTGGGGCTTGGTATGGCGATGGTAGGTGGGGTGAACTGGGAGGTTTTAAAAAATATCTTGCCATAGGATTTCTCAAGAGCTCTTCAAAGTCAGCAACTGATTCATCTAGGTGGTAGCTACAAATAAATGAAAGGTCAGCACCGAGTGGAGTTTTTTTATTAATAATATATAGAATTGTGCATGTCTGTTTTTCAAAAAGAAATACTATGCTAGATAATACTTTTTTCTTTTTCTTTTTGTCTTTCTTTTAGATTTCATCGATACCTGGATGTAAGCAGTCAGCAGATTCAAAGGACTTTGGATGGGTAACTTCTTTTGTTTCATAACTCATTGCAATAAGCATGATGTATGCATTCAATTTGATTCATGGCTTTTTTTTTCTCCATACATTGATAACATAACATACAAACACCCTGCAGAACGGCTTTTTAAATTTTTTTTGTCTTTTTTTGTTTTGTAGGATGTATGAAAAGTTTGTGATTAAATCTGATTTGAGTAAAGCAGAGAGCTGGAAGAGGCTGACTGATGAGTTTTTAAACTTTCCTCTTGAAAACACTGAAGGGACACAGGTGAGCTTGTTTTATGACCGTACAAAATAAACCTGTATTTATCTGAGATATAGCAATTGTTTGAAGAGATCTTGTCAGTTTAAAAAAAAAAATCATATCCTGCAAGAGAAGAGCCACTATACTGGTGAGCTGTGCCTCCGACCTTTCCCCTGTTCCAGTACTGCAGTCTCCATATGACTCTTGGCCATTTGGCATTGCTTGGATTGTTGGATGCCTGGCCTGCACTGCTCGCTGCGGCTTGATTCTCCAATACTCTTACTTCAGGACACAGCAGTCATGTATGGGTTAAATGATGAAACCAGAGCACATGGTGGGGGACACAGACATTTGACAATCCCAGAAGTGTCAAATGTTGGAGGCCGCGGCGCTGAAACAGAGAGAAGGTTGAAAACACAGGCTTAAATACTTCTATTGCAGGAAACCTTAAGGACCATTGAGGGATTACAAGGTCTCTTTGAAGTGGATGTAAATCCTTACTGAATTATATTTCATTTTCTATTTGCTTGTTGTTTTTTTTTTAAAGCCTTTGGGAAGAACATATTCCACTGTCTTCTGGGGACCTTTTTGTTTCTTCATCAGTAGAGAGCTATTTTCCTTTTCTGACACATTTGATATTTAGCATTGGTATTCATCATAATAAATAGATTTTTGGGGTGTGCAGGAAAAGACAGAGCAACTAAAGCATGATTAGGAAAGGAAAAGGCAGATGAGTTGTCATATGTGTACTGCGTTAACCTGTTCATTGTGTGTTGATTCTCTCCACATCTACTCAGTGGTGCACATACTTTAATGGCCTTTTTCTTTTGCTTTTGTTTATTTTGTGAATTTGTAGCCCAGCTACTTTTTGGTGCCTTATTACTCTTATTTTATTTGTTTTTAAAAAGCTGAATGTGTTCTTTTCTTTTTCTAGACTAATGCCCACTATGCCGTATTGTCTCTTCTTCTGTGCCTATCTGACTCTCCGTCTAGAAATGATTATGTTGAAAAACCAAGAAAAAAACAAGCAGGTACTTTGAACTTGTTTTCTTTGGATTTTACCTAGCGACTGGATGTTCTGCGCCATTCTATTGCATTGCTCATTAATATTTTGAGCATCGAGCTCCACCATTTATTTATTTGTTCAAATCTATATCCCAGAGGGTTCTATTAATTTAGTGGGGGGATTGTTTGGAGCTTCTGAACAGAGAATCTTGTTCAGAAGCTCCAAACAATCCTCCCACTAAATGAATATTTTTTTTTTCAGGCTATTGTCTTCACTAACGCATGGAGATTTCCATCCAGCATGGTCGTTTACTATTGGTGGAGCTGATCTCTAACTGTTTTGTAATGTTGCTCTGAAATCTGCATAAAAAGCTTACTAGATGTTATGTGTGGTTTAATTCTAGAAGAAGATGAGCCATTTGATTGGGGAAAATACTTAAGGGAAGGTGAAGACTATGGGTTAAGTCCTGATGGAGATACCCCGGTAAGATCTGTCATACCTGCTTTCTGGTTTAGAATTTGTTTATTGAATGTTCAATAGTGTGGCAGTATTACAAGCTTACAATTGGTAAAGAAAAGGTTCTCAACACAAGAACATGCAGGCAAGCATGGCATTGTATAGGACATACAACTAGGTCACATATGTAACATAATGGTTATAACAATCCACTAGACCAGTGATGGCGAACCTTGGCACTCCAGCTGTTTTGGAACTACAAGTCCCATGAGGCATTGCAAGGCCCTGACAGCCACAGACATAACTCCCAGAGGCAGATGCATGTTGGGATATGTAGTTTTGGCACAGCTGGAGTGGCAAGGTTCGCCACCACTGCACTAGACAATGCGACAGTAATAAAAAGTTGTATTTCAGTCACAGCTGCCAATAACCACATATGCCTAGTAGCAGTCCTTCAAAGCACTTTGTGAGGGTACACACAAATGTTTTATCACAGGTGTCAATGTACCAATCAAGGTTGGTAGGAGTAATTCAGGGTAACACATAAGACACGAAGTGGTGGCAGGAAATCAATTGCCTGATTGGATCGATAAGACTGCTCACACCGAGGAGAGAGAGAAAAGGGACAAAAAAAAAGAGAAAGAAGGGGGATGACAGAGTGGCAGATAAAGGAGAAGGGGCTGCTGTGTCGTGTCCCCGCCCCCCCCCTACCACCCATGGGCAACCACTGGCTTTCTTTTTTTTTTATGTCTTGTAACAGTAGCTGTAACTTCTATAATTCTAGATCTGAGGCAACTTATTTGATGATTATCCAGACCCACGTTGAAGAAAACAAAATTGAAATAGTAAAAAATATACTTTTCACCATGTCCCAACAAATTACTTGTTCTGATTGACATTTCCAATGTATGTGCTGCTTCTTAGATCTGTAGTTTGGCATTATAACTTTGTCAAGTACTATGCAGAAACGTTGTTCAATCAGCAGTGTCCACGTCCCGTACACTTTCTCTGCAGCTCTGGGTTCTAGCTTTCAGTATCTGCGCCAGATTCTGTTTTGGCTCTTCACACACTGGAATATCTTTCACAGGTCACTTACCAACCCCTGCTCTTCCAGGTCTTGCATTACAGAATGCATTGGTATTGGTTGCTGGGCTGTACACTTGTTGCTCTACCATTATTGTCTCTATTTAGTGATTTTAACAAGTCATATAAAAAAAAATATGGTAGAATAATTGATGTCACTCTCTTAGGAGTGGTCTGATGTGAGTGAGCAAGAAGATGATGAAGAGACACTCAGCAGGGAGGACTCTGGAATTCAGGTTGATAGGACACCTCAAGATGATGCCGATAAGAAAAGTGCTCCCCCTGTTGTGTCATGGAAAGGTATATTTTTTTGCTGTTTTAAATATGTTATGCTTTTAAAGTTACCCTAAATTGACATCTGTGTAAAGTGTGTTTGGCTTTTTATTTATATATTATGTTTGTATTTATTGTTAGAAATCACAGTCCACTTTTCTGTTTAAGAGAACTCCAGGCAAATATTTATTTTGTCTAGGGAGCAAAAATAACAGTTATACTCGCCCAACCACCCTGCTGGCTGTTAGACCAGTCCCTGGCGCCTCACTGCTCCTCCACTCCAGCGGTCTAAGGTCTGGTGAGTCATCACGTTTAATACAGTGTATTGGACACCAAGAGACATTTCATTACTGCAGCAGAGGAGGAGACAGGCTGAAGGGACCAGTCTAGGAGCCAGCCAGGATTGCCGGTTATTCTTCAGTAGGTACAATAACAACTAGTTAAAGTGATTTAAAATATAAAATATCTCCAATATTTAAACCCTTTCACTGCATACCAATTTTTAATTTTTTTTTTCTTCATACTCCTGCTAAAATAGACATTGTGGCCCTGAAAATCTAATAAAGACTCAGAATAACTTGAAAAGAACCTGGGGCTTTTTAAATGCCTCAGTTAGTACATATTCATGTGCTTTACTTAAAAAAACTCATTTTATTATTTCAATTTAAAAAAAAAAAAAAATTTTAAACACTTTTGTCATCTCAGGGACCTGCTATACAAAACATGTATGGGACAGAAATAATGACATATACATATCTTGGCCTAAGTCTTCTAGCTTGGACAGGTTATAAATAGTAGTAGACTCAACGTGCTTCGAGCAAGTGCTTCTTCAGGAGCCTTAGTGAAGATCTACAATTCAATAAATCACACATGTCATACAAAACCTCCTGTGTCTGTACAATATATTACATAGGGTATCCTTTCCTCTCATTATGGAACAATATACATTAGCAATATATATATATAAAAATCAAATAAAAAATAGTAATAATAAGGATTTACTCCAACTTGTTATGTAGTCTACAAATGACCAGCAGCAAAATCCAGAATATCCAAGAGGGAGGTGTGTGTATGCAATATGTCACCTGTATGTGGGGCTTTCCAGGGAGACCAGGACCAAGCTCAATTCAAGCCACATTAAATGTGTGTGTATTTATATATTGGTATGTCACTCTACATGAGGTTCAAATAACATGACCGTCAACAACCAGCATAAGTTTGGGTCACTCGCCGCTGGGTTCAGAGGCAAACAGCATATAGACTCAGACAGGGACAGCAGAAGTATCCTCAAATACAGTCAAATAATTTTACTGTCATGTTATTTGAACCTCATGTAGAGTGACATACCAATATATAAATA